AAGATGTGGCTTCTTAGCAAGATGTTGATGTTTGATTGGACACTTGAACTCAACTCTGATTTCTTCAGTTTTTTAACATCTTCTCTAATCCTCATCATAACTCGTCCAGCGCTCCAATTTAGAACGACCCCTTTTCAAGTCTTGCTCATTGGTAGTGGAGTTATCATCTTCTCTTTGTGTCCTCAAAAAATAACATTGCTTCAGGGTTTCTTGCTCATGATGCTTTGTAAATGCAGCAGATGATGATTTCAGTTGTCCAAGATCACAACAGTCAATTGAGTCTGCTGTCGGTGGCTTCATTCTTGTTTGCTCACTTGAGCTTTCCACTCTAACCTGAACAATATGAAAATGTCAGAAAGAATAGCTTCCAAAATAAATGAAACTAATATACAGATCTGCAAGATTTAATTCTACCAGCAATTTGTAAGGAGTCATGTTTGTCAAGCAATGTGAAAAATATGATGCAACCATAATTTCTCAATTCCAAGACTCCTATCACCTGAAAGCTGAAGATATGATAAGTATTGACTTGATAATGCATGATTTGTGTCTACTTTCCACCACCGTCTTCCGCCGCTACTTGCCACCACTTGCCATTTCTCACTCTTTTTTATATTTTTAAATTTTTTAAAACATTTTGTCAATTACCAAACGCGTTTGTAATTTATGTTTTTCTAAAAATAAACAAAAACCAGTTTATAAAATTTTTGTAAATATAAACTGAAAACGTAAACGTTACCAAATACACCCGTAATGTTGTGTGCTATGATGGTTGAAAGGATAAAATTTACAATTTTATACTAGATAATTAAAAAATAAAAAAGAGTATGACAATTTATAATTAGTTAAATTAAGAAATAAATTTTCAAGACTCTCTCCTGCTCCGGATCATCGTTTTTCCTTTTTTGATTTTATAACAAAACGTAGTGGAAAAAAAAAAAATCCGACCTTTTTACCATTAAAGTGTGAAGGGGAAAATGGAAGAAAGTAAGAATGGCCACGGGACGGGTTTGCCATTATCTGCCCCTGCCCCTATCCCTGTCCCTGCCGACAAACTCCATCTTGCCCCTGCCTCACCATTGTTACGGGTGAAATTTTTTAACTCCACCCCAGCCCCAGCGGATACTCGATATCCGCGGATATTCGATCACATTTCAAATAGTCAAAAAAATTAAAAATCATTTATATTCTTAACACACTAAATATATATATATTTTTTAATTTTCATATATATAAACAGTGAGACTTTTAAGATTATTATTTATTTATATTTAAACAAAATCATAAATTTTTAATATTATTTTCTTATATCTAATTATATTTTATATATATACATATATTATTAAGTATATCTGGTCGAATTTAGATCGGGAGAAGTAATATCTGCTCCCGCCCCACCCCGTTGCTGGTGACCAAAATATAATCCATTCATGTCTCACATAAATGTTGAGGTGGATATGAACGAGCTTCCGTAAATCAAATTAGAATTGCCATCTCTAGAAGAAAGAAACACATTCATAAGCATGATTGCATGGAAAATTTTGTAAGTTTTAGTGAAAACGTCCAAGTCTAATTTATTTTTATGGTTGACTTTGTTTGCAAATAAACACATAAAATCTTATGAACTTTCAATGTCGGAAGTGGTTGGTGATGGGTGATAATATGAACTAAAAAAAAGCAGGGGGGGGGGGGGGGGGGGTTTCCTTGTAGCTTCCTTTACGACTTAATTGATTCTTCCCCACTCCCCACCTACTTTCGTGTCCCTCTTTTCAACATGACCACCTTTCTCAACTGTTAACATTCACTCACTTTCGTGACCCAAAGCCTTCACTTATCTATCTAAAATCATTGAAAAGATTATGGCGTTATAGACAATAGAGAATTTTATTTTTTTTAATGTTTGAAGGAAAAAAAGAATAATGGCATAATTGTTCTGGTAATTGTTCATATAGTTATTTTGGGAAAATAAAATTTTGTAACATAAATACCAAGAACAGTGTTGGCTATATAATAATATTACTAGTGTCTACCTACTTGATGAGTATGTCGTTAAATCTAAAAAATACATATTTTTATTTTGATTTAATAGCATATATATTGTGTCTTGTTCAAATGGTAATTACGGATATATATAGGGAAATTCTATAATATACACTATGTTTTTGGAATGTATACTATATTTTCAGTTATGACATTTGTAGTGTTTGATTATAATTTATTGTGGTGTTGCTTATGACTAATTGCAGTGTTTTTTTTTTTTTGCTTTTTTTTTTTTACTTTTTTTTTATTTTTTATCGACAAAGAAAGAGATTATATTAGAACTAATCAAAAGAAAGAAATATAAAAAGAAGTGTCAGCGCAGATGAAATGACATTCAAACCAAACTACTCGTTTTAGTGTTAGTTATGACTTAGTTATGATCTTTTATGTTTATTTATTTATTTTGGTTATGCCTCAAATGGTGTATGATTATAACCGTTAGTTATGATTTAATTATGACTCATTGTGAAATTAATTATGATTTATTATGATTATTATTTTAGTTATGATTGAAAAGGAATTTGATTACGACTCAAATCAATTCCGATTCGTAGCTCGAATGTTGTGGCTCGAGAGTGGCCCGAATGTTGTTTTTTATCCTCTGCGGGCGTGTGCTTGAATTGAATGAAGTCTCACAGCCAAGCATCATATTTGGCGGCAAAACAATAAAAAAAGAACGAAAAAGAAAGACACAGTGAGAGCAGCGATCTGGGTTGCACAGTGAGAGGAGCGATGTATCGTTCGTAACCTAGCGGCACTGTACATTTTCGATCTGGGTTGTTGTTGCTACCGTGGGTGCCGGAAGCTACTGCCGTTGTGTTGTCCATAGTTGAAGAAGAGGAGTCTTGACTGGTAAGATCTTTTTCCAAATCCACTCTGTTTCAATACTATGAACTTAACATTCAAGATACACCTGTTTTGAAATCTGTCATTGTGTCGTCCTATTGTATTTTTGTTTCCCTTGTGTGCAAATCCACTATGTTTCTCTGCAAATCCACTATGTTTCTCTGCTCGTCATTTTCGTTTATATATATGATTCGGTTCAAGTCACTCAAGTTCCCATTATCATACTCAAGCCTGACCCAAATTTAATTCAAACTTTTAAATTCTATCCAACCCACACCAAACTACTTCTTTGGACTCTCCCTACACACAACCAATCTTTCCCCCCTAGTGGCTATGGTCTTCCTACTACACCACACCCCAACTTTGTCTCACAGTAAGTCATAACTTTCATCATCATCCCAACTCAACTTAATACTTTCTTACCCCGCAACCCCTCTTCAAGCATTGTCAATTCCTCATTATCTGAAAGTGAATTTGTATGATTATTAATAGATCCTATAGTTTAAAAATATTTATTTAGTTCTTAATTAGTTTTGTAATTGTTTGAAAGTGGTTTGGTATAATTTTTAGCACATCCGTGTGATTTGAAAACAAAGCCATTGAAACTTTGTTTAGATTTTTAGTGCCAAATAAACTTAAAATATTCAAACTGGTTACGCTAAACATACTTAAAATGTTTGGTGAATGAAACTAATTTATTCTACTTTTGGGTGTTTAAGTCTGAACATTTTAAGTTTGTTTTGCAACATAAGTCCATACAAATTAAGTTTGTTCGGATGCAACTCAAATCCAGAAATTTTTGTCTGTAATTGCAAAGAAATTATTGTTCGAATCAATATCAAAGCCAAAGCCATTGAAAAAATTATTGTTCGGATATAGAGTTGTCATGAATTTTCTTGAATTCTTTTTTCTTTGTCTGTTTTAATTGAACTTGTTCACAGAGATGTTGTCTGTAATTGCAATATGTTAGCTTCACATGTCTCCTTATTTGATTCCATAGCATTAGATAAAGATGATTGTTTGTAAGATAATTGTTTGTACTCTAAAATTTTGTATTCTATTTAACTTTGAAGGTAGAATGGATATTGATTCGAATAATAATTTTTTCAATGGGAGTGACAAAGTTGAAGAAGAAGATAACAGTCTTTCATTTAATGAGTGTGGTGAAGTTGAAGAACCTAAGAAGGGAATGCATTTTAGCTCAAAGGAAGAGGTATACGCATTTTATGCAAAATATGCGAAACACTTGGGATTTGCTATAGCTTATAGAACACAAAATTTAACATGTGATGGGGGAGTTAAGTACTTTGGAATTGAATGTACTAGGGCGCGGAACAGAACAAAAAGATCAGAAATAAATCCCTTAGAACCATCTTTGTCATCAAAAATTGAGTGTAAAGCAAGGGTAAGAGCTAGTCTACAAAAGGATGGAACATATAAGTTAACCACAGTTGTGCTTGAGCACACTCATGATTTGGTTGCTACTGACTCACGACATTTTGCAATGAATAATAGGATTGTTACGCCGGTGAAGAGGAGATTAGAAGTTAACGATGCAGCAGGATTAGGGTGGCTAAGAATTTTCATTCCATAGTTGTTGAAGTGGGGGGATATGAGGCATTAACGTTTGATGAACGAGATGCAAGAAATTATATCGACAATGCTAGAAGGTTGAGACTTGGGGTAGGACACGCCGAATCAGTTACACATTATTTTCATAAAATGCAACAACAAAATTCAAACTTTTATTCTGCAATTGACCTTGATGAAGATGGTCGCATGCGTAACTTGTTTTGAGCGGATGCAAGGAGTAGGGCGGCTTACAAAGCATTTGGGGATGTTGTCTCTTTTGACATAACCTATTTGACAAACAAATATGATATGCCATTTGCTCCGTTTGTAGGAGTTAATCACCATGGACAGTCAATTTTGTTTGGTTGTGGGTTGTTAAGTAATGAGAACACGAAGACTTTTGTTTGGCTATTCAAAGAATGGTTAAGTTGCATGTCAGATGCTCCTCTAAAGCGATAATAACTGACCAGTGCAGAGCTATGCAAAATGCCATAGAAATTGTCTTCCCATAGGCTCGGCATCGTTGGTGTTTATGGCATATTATGAAGAAAATTCCCGAGAAATTGAGAGGATATTCGCAATATAAGTCCATTAAGGTTGCTTTCAGTAATGCAATTTATGATTCATTCATAATAGATGAATTTGAGGAATACTGGAAAGCAATGCTTGAAAATTTCAATTTGAATGATAACGAGTGGTTGGGGGTATTATACCGTGAGCGACATAGGTGGATTCCTGCCTATGTTAAAGACATATTTTGGGCTGGCATGTCAACTACACAACGAATTGAGAGTATGAATGCATTCTTTGATGGATATGTGAACTCCAAGACAACCTTGAAGCAATTTGTTGAGCAGTATGACAATGCATTGAGATGTAAGGTAGAGAAGGAGACAAAAGCAGATTTTAAGTCTCGTAACAAATTGTATGATTGCTTAACGGTGTATCATTTTGAGAAGCAATTTCGTGCAGCTTACACTAATTTCAAATTTAAAGAAGTTCAACTAGAAATGAAGCGTCTAGTGTATTGTCGTGCAAATCTTATCAAAGAGGAGGGAGCAATTTGTACCTATCATGTGAGGGAGGCTATTGTTGTGAGTGAGGGGATGAAGAAAGTGGAATTTGTTGTGTACTTTAATTCAACTGAATGTGAGCTGCAATGTATGTGTCGGTTGTTTGAGTTTAGAGGTATTATGTGTGCACATTCACTTTCTGTGCTCATTGAGAGATCCATATATGAGGTGCCAACTAAATACATTGTTTCGAGATGGAGAAAAGACTTGGAAAGAGGCTACACATGCATTCCAACCACATATACTAACTTTGGCTCTTTTCTACATCCAAAGTTGCATGATAACTATCACAACACGTTGGATGAGATCCTAGATCTTGCCACCAATGATGAGGCTAAACACAAAGTGATTCAACTTGGGTTAATGAAAATCAAGGATGAAGTGAGAACAGTTCAATCAAGTAGTGCGAGTAATGTGCTATGTACTAGTACTTTACCACCTTCAAGTAGTACTTTACCACCTTCCCATACTTCACCAAAAAGTCCACCTCGTATCAATACTACAAAAGAAAGCATGACTCGCAAGGTACTAAGTCCTTTGGTTGCTCACCGAAAAGGCCGTCCATGTATGAAACGGAAGGTTAACAAGGTTGATGCAATAGTCAATCGGTTGAAGGGAAAGAATAAGAAGGCTAATTCGGTACAGGTATATTTTTTTTTTATGGTAGTTCATATGTATATTGCAGAATTTGTTAAACTTCAAATATTCATCAATGTTTGGTAATATAGGGTCAGAAGGTACGTCAAAGTGAATCTCGTAAGTTAAGCTTTCCTTGTATGGGAGGCGTGCAACACACTATGTATGAACCGGTACGTGTTAAATATGAAGGTTGTTTCGTGTTTTTTTATTCCAACCACATATACTAACTTTTTATGATTCATTTTAGTGCTTGAAATTAGTACTTAACTTGTGTTACTATTTCATCATTAGGTGCCGCCAAGTCAACCTTACTACTGTCCTTCTATGGATGCCATACCAGACCCTTTCCTTGTACCGATATGTGTTGAACGGACTTAATATATTGCACTTTGTTGTTGTCGCTTGATATGAATATGTTTCTGGAATTTTTTTTTATTATTTACTTTATTTTTTACAGGCACCAATTACCACAAGTGGGGACGACATTGGGAGCACATCTCATACTGAAGCTGGAATGCTCAACAATATTAGCAGTCAAAGATCGATAGTACCGTAATATTTTGTTGACTTGAACATCGACGGGGATCCGAATGTCCCTTTTTTTTTTTAGTTTTGAAGTGCTAATTGTACGTGAATTTCATTTGTAAACTTCGGATTATTCACTTTTATTGTTTGAGCTCACACTATTAAAGTTTTATATTTTTGTTTCAAGTTTTAGTCAGTGACTGAAAATATTCACTGTTATTGTAATATGGAGTTATGATTATTGCCTTCTGGATTTGTTACAAGTATGTTGCTAATTGTTGATATATGTTGGGGAAGAATTTGCATCAGTTGATTTATACTGTTCCTTTTTTTTTTTTTTTTTGGTTCAGGTATGTTTTGTATCTTTCAACTTTGTGTGATGATGCCATTCAAGGAAAAAAAATCACTGCATACTGCTGTAAATGCTATTTTCTCAGTTCCTATTTCTGGAACACCTGAAAATAGAAACACAGATGAAAGTGAAAATGCAGAAGTGAAGCCCACTTTACTTTGGAGTGCTCTATATATACAGGAAATGGCTACGGTTACTTTTTATCTGTTGTCCCCTTCATTTTCCTGCTGTTTGTTGATTTTTTGGGGTGCTATGTATTTGACTCTTTTATTTGAGAATTTGAGGTTTTATTGAGCTGCCACAAGCATGTCAAGTCTTCTGGTTGCCTGTGCACTCTGGTCAATTAGCCCAGCAGGAAGTGGTTTTATTCTAATGGATGTAACAATCCAAGATTACTCGAGTTCCAGAATGCTTTTCGGGGGACAAGCAGATCCTTGGGTATTTAGGAGTCTATGTTTTAGGTTAAGGAGCAATGAGGAGGGATTAGCATGAAAATTGGATATAGAAAAGGCACAGGAATATATCTATTCAGTAGAACTCAATTAGTCTGTCTAGGAGACTTGCTTCTAGAATGTGTGAATCAGCAGTAATCACAGGAAGTACTGAGATGACCTCAACCTGGAATATAGTGCTTGAATCATCCAAGATTCTGAACAAGCCTTTGTTGCCTTTTCAAGAGTGGAACATTGATTCCTCTGAATTGACTATTGGAATTCGTGGTGAATCAGCAGACCATAAAATGAAAAGTTGAATCTATGTCATGAATCTATCCAAGTCAGAAGTTCACCATTTTCTTTGTTTTTTGCCAAAAATATGACAGCAAGATGCGAAAATATTTTGTTAGAATGGATTAGAATGCACCTAAACAGTGCATTGAAAGCAAACTTGTCAATCCTGGTCGTGCAACAGATTTCACAGCATTTCATGTGAAATTCATTCAACAGATTTCATTTCATATTAAGCAACACCCTGTTCATTTAACAGATTTCATTCAATAGATGGCTTTTCATGTTAAGCAACACCCTGTTCATTCAACAGATTTCATTCAATAGATGGCTTTTCATGTTAAGCAGCACCCTATTCATTCAACTGATTGCACACATTGTTCATAATAAATACACACTGTTCATTCAACAGATTTCAGGCAACAGATTTCATGAGAAATGCCATGTTCATTCAACAAATTTCATGTCAAGTTCAGCCTGTTATACACCTTCAACCTGCTCAAGCTGTTCATTCAACACATTGTTAATCAATACACCTAAGTCATTTGCAAACCATCACATACAATACACACTGTTAAGCAACCAACTGTTCATTTAACAGATTTGACACATTGTTCATAATCAATACACACTGTTTTTCCAAGACCCTGTTAATCATTCAAGACCCTGTTAATCAATACACCTATTTTTCCAAACCATCAGACTTTTAAGTAGAAAAGTACAAAACCTAACAACTAGAAAAGTAGATTACATTCATAGCATGTTCCAAAACCTAACAACTGAGTCATTTACATTATAAAGTACAAAAATACACACAATACAATGACATAAGTCATTGCCTTGAAAATCTTTTCCATCATTTGAAGCCTTCTATCATGCTCATGAATTGCATTCTCCACCTCACCAAGCCTAATCCTTTGATCATTAATTTCTTCCGTTCTTGAATCTGTCCGAGGTCTAGCATTCGCACGGATTGTGGAGGTAACGTCATTGTCGTCATCATCTACAAACCTGGAGTAATTGCAGTATTCATTCGCACTCTACAATGCACAATAATCAGTTAATCAATAAATGACAAATGAAATTTGTAAAAAATAAAAGATTAATTTATATAACAGATACTTACATATTTTGTTGGGCAAACAAAAAACACACGTCCTTCATTTTCATTCTCATTGGTTCGTACAATATGCATGGAAGCTGTTTTTCCACAATTACACAATCTTAGCTTTAATCTTATGGTCCTATAATTAGTAGAAGATAAAGCCATTTTTTTATCTGCATAACAAAAACCAACTGATTCAACTACCTATTAATAGAAGATCATGTTCTTCCTATTTTTTTATCTTCCAAGCTGTTGTACCTATTAGTAGAAGATGATGATTCAACTACCTATTAGTAGAAGAGGATGATTCAAATACCTACCAACAGATTCAACTACCTATTAGTAGAAGATGATGATTCAACTACCAATCTATTTCAAATAGAGACAGATGCGTTCAAGATTGAACTATCTTATCAGGTTAATCTGGAATTAATTTTGATAACAGAGTTCAATCTTGATATGTTGAATTAACCAGGTTAATCTTGATGAAAGAGTTCAATCATGAATTAATTTGGTTAACAGGTAAATCTTGAATTAATTTTTCACAGAACTCTGTTCAATCGGTTAAATTAAGATAACAGAGTTCAATCTGTTTTTCACACATAGAACATTGCATTATTCATTGAATTAATTTTGAAATTATTTAACATAGGAACATTTCATGAAGTTCAGCAACATTTGATCAATTTTTCACATAAAATTTCATGAAGATAAAAAATTAATTCAAGATTAACCAAGAATCCTATTCATTCAAAAATGACCTATTCATTCAACAGATTTCAGGAACATTTGATCAATTTTTCACATAACATTTCATGAAGACTAAAAATTAATTCAAGATTAACTTGTAATTATACAAGATTAACATTGCAATGCATTCATACTCATGACAGATGTGTATTTCAAATTCAAGATTAACCTGTAATTATACAAGATTAACATTGCAATTTGTTTAACATTGCAATGATCAATTTTTTTTTAATATTTAACAAGAATCAGATTAAATTAGTTACAATTACAAGCTAAGTTATGAGATTTATATATACACAGACCTGTTAATCCAACAAATTTGAATTAACAAAGATTAAATAGGTATATACAAGTAAGACAATTGAAAATCAAGAGAATGAAAATGAAGAAAACAAATTGAAATTTTATTTCAAATTCAAGATTAACCTGTAATTATACAAGATTAACATTGCAATTTGTTTAACATTGCAATGATCAATTTTTTTTTAATATTTAACAAGAATCAGATTAAATTAGTTACAATTACAAGCTAAGTTATGAGATTTATATATACACAGATCTGTTAATCCAACAAATTTGAATTAACAAAGATTAAATAGGTATATACAAGTAAGACAATTGAAAATCAAGAGAATGAAAATGAAGGAAACAAATTGAAATTTTAATGATTAATTTAACATTGCAAAGATCAATTTTTTTAATTATACAGATTCTTGTTAAACAAATTCATCCAGGACAACCTTGAAGTAATGTATGAATGCATTCAAGATTAACATTGCATGACCAAACTCATGACAGATGTGTATTTCAAGCAAAACCCTAACCCTAACCCTAGCCCTAACCCTAATTGCAAGCAAAATCCCAAACCTTAACACATCACAAATTAAAGCTAAATCCCAAACCCTAACACAAATTGCAAGCAAAATCCAACCCCAAACACTCCCAATCGACTAATTTTGCGATTTCAGGTTTACCCTAACTGAAACCCTAACTTTGCGATTTCAGGTTTACCTTAGATTCGCTGTCGTTCGTCCTCCGTCTTGGTTCATCCTCTTCCATCGTCGTTCGTCCACTGTCTCGTTGTCCTTCATCCACCGTCTCGTCGTCCTTCGTCCACCGTTTCGTCGTCCTCGTCCCCCGTTTCGTCGTCCTTCATACTCCTTTAAAAGACAAGTGAGACAGTCCACAGTGAAGAGAGAAAAAGAAAAGAGAGGCGAGAGTGAATGAGAGGGATGAGGTGAGAGAGTGAGGCGAGAGTGAATGAGAGGGATGAGGCGAGAGAGGTAAGAGGGATGAGGAGAGGTGAGAGGGATGAGGTGAGAGTGAGAGAGAGGTGGTATCAAGAGGTGGTATAGTTGAGAGGGATGAGATCGAGAGGAGAGAGAAATTTGTCCTTTCAAGCCATTCGAGCCCCAAATATTCAAGCTACGGCTCATTTTCCTGCCTCAAATGGTGCTTGATGGTAACTTATTGTGTTTTTTTATTTATGACTTAAAAATGATTTAGTTATAACATTTGTGATATTAAGCTTATAAATGTCATAACTTGCATATATAGAATAATCCTACAACTAAAGTGATTTTCAATTATGCTCGAAAGTAGAGGTAGTGGTTATAATTAAGGTTATAAACGAATCGAGGTTTTGAGTGTTCAAACTTATTTATTAAGAATTAGTTAAGCTGAGTTCGAGCTTAATTAATCGAGCTTGAGCTCGCTTGATTAGATATATTAGCCGAGTTCAAGCTTGAAAAAAAATAATTAACTTATATTAATTTACTTATTAAGATAAAAAAAATAGAAAATTATGATCAAAATATACAAGAATACTTATATTAATAATAAATTTCATTAATCAAATATGTAAATTTACATAAATACCAAACACTAATAGAAAAATAAAAAGAAAATTTATCCATAAATCCCATATAAAGGAATGTTGATCTATTTAGTTTTAAGAGTTTTCTTATGAACCAATTAGTCTTTTTTTTTTAAATTTTAGAAAGTTGTATTTATTTGATTTGATACCATTTGAATTTAAGTGGATGTCTTTTTCTTATTCGTAATGTGAGATTTGTTCCAAAAAGAGGAAAAATCCAAAA